TCTGGACTCGATCTAAGTTATAATTCTTTTCCCCATGTCTTCACAAAACCACAGAGGTGAGTGACATTCACATGAAGAGGGCACCTTTCCCTACCTTCCTGCCCACTCCTAGGGAGAACCTGCAGCTCACAAACATGCAGCTGTCCCTGTGCTATAAACAGTGGCATGCCACCACACCCCTGTTATTAGTGTAGCTGCTGAGCATGCCGAGAAAATGTCTTCCTCTTAGGAGCTTCGTGAGAAAGAGTCCAGAAACATCATATCAAGGCCCGAAAGATGCAATTTAAATTTCCTGTGGCTGTGGAGATGCCAGTGACATGGTGATTACATATGTTGAGCAAGTGTGATGCAGCAGGGGGCCCTGTCATTGAGGATCCCAGGCAGTGGGCCGTAGATAGAGCTGAGGCCCAGGCAAAAGGAGTGTGTGCACTGCTGGACTGGGCTTGTGTGTCACTGGTGCTTGGCACCTATTCTAGGGTCATTCATTTCAGAGGTAGAAAGGGCTAAGAGAGCAGTGAGTCTAGAGATGTTGTTTTGTCTTGTGAATATGTTCAGCACATTCAGAGCTAGCTAGCGCCTGACACCTGAAAATAAGGACCAGTGGAGAACGATTAAGAAAGGTCCTGTGGCCACTCTCTCAACTGTGCAGCAGCCAGAAAGGTCTAGAAGGGATGAATTGGAGACTTGAGTCTGGCACTAAATATGTGAACATAGGAAAATCCCTCATCGCTCTCAGTCTCCTTTTCGTCATCTGTCAAATGGGAGCAATCGTCTTTGTTGACAGGGCTGTTATAGAGTTTAGATGAGAAAATAGGCATAAAAGTCTCCAGTTAAAGACCAAAGTCTTTAAAGTGAAATGCTATAAAGTGAATGCTATAAAGACAAAAGAGTGCTGATAATTCTGAGCGGTTAATGTGATGGGGAGTCACCAGAGATTCTGGAGGAGAAGGTGGGCTATAGACACAAGGGATTTATTGGATTTTTGCCGATTTTTAAGTTTTTATCTTAACATTACAATAGTAATACATGCTCGTTTTGAAAAATTGGGGGGAAAACCATAAAAAAGAAAACTGAAGTGATTTCTAGTCTTATCACTCAGAAACAATGCTTGTTAACATTTCTGGGAAATCTTTATCATATATAACTTAATTTGGTGAAATAGAAGAGAAAGAAATTTCTGGTCATTTAATATTGTTTGAACACAGAGGCTTGGCTTGAGCAAGGACAGCATTTGGGTCACAGGGGTGGGAAAATGCAGCAGAAGATAAGAAGTTGGAGACAATTCAGATGGGTTTTGTACGCAAAGGCACCCATAGTTTTCCCTTCCTACATTTTTTTCTTAAAGGAAAGTCATAAACCCTTAACTTTCTGTCTTCTCTTCTTGCTCTCTCACCTCCTGATCACTGTCGGTTCTCTCAAACATACTGACATGATTTGCCAAGGAAAAGGCAGACTTTCCCTATAGCCAAGAGAACAGAGAGCTTGAGCGCCCTTCCGTCCCCAGTGGAATCGTTGGGCCAGAGTGAGTAGTCCTCTCCTGTAAAATAAATTGTGGGGCTGTGCTGGATTATTGTGTGGGTTGCCCCTTGGAAGACTTTGGAACCATCAGGCCCTGAGCCCTCCCATACATATGAGCATCTTCTAGAATGACTTTCCTGGCTCCTGGCTTTCTGGAGCTGGGGCATTCTTCCCCCATCCCACACATCTTTTATAATGGGCTTTGTCATATGTGACATGTGGCTAAGAAGTCAGTGGCTTTAGATACGTTTTGATTCCAAAGGTGAGATGAGATGATGGAGCCGGAGAGAAAGGTGTGTGTGTGTGTGTGTGTGTGTGTGTGTGAGAGAGAGAGAGAGAGAGAGAAAGAGAGAGAGAGAGAGAGAGAGAGAGAAACCCAGAAAGAAAATCAGAGATGTGGCATAAAGAATGGATAAGGGAAAAGACAGAGAAGAGGGAGGGAAAGATGATGGGAGACAGAAAAGGATGCTTGAGTGACAGAGAGAGTGGGTGCAGGGGAGACAGAGACAATCATTACTACTTAATGATTAATACAGGATTTATATGAAATATTCATGAAAGGAAATTGGAGCTATAGACAAATCCAAACGCCACTTCCCCAATCCCCACCTCCCCCTTCCTACTCCAAAGTGAATTCTTTGGAGATTCGTGCCCTCTCTTGTCATTACATGGGAACAATTGATGGATGTAACCTTGAGGGGAAGCTTGTTCCTTTGATGGTATTTGGCTCCATTAAAATCATGTTGACTAATCGCTCTGGTGGTTGCTGAGCTTCGGTGAGAGTGAGGCACTTTAGGGAATGCTCCTGGCACCCTGGAGGTCATGCAGACGGCTTCTCCCTTCCTCTGAGCTCTACCCATGGTCAGAGGCTCCAAGTGTTCCCTGAACCAGGATCTCCCCCTCCTTCAGGTGACAGTGGAAACATCCTCTAGGGTGGTGGCTGCCCTGCAGACATGCCACAGACAGAGCCCAGTGGTGGTGAGTAACAGAAACTCAATAAATCCAGGTGTACTGCCATTTGCCATCTGACCAGCCCAGTGTAAACAAGGAAGTAGTTTTGTTACGGAAAGTTGCCTCATCTCTCCAAGCCTGCACTTTCTCATCGATGTGTCTTGCTGATAGTATCACCCGTGGGGAACAGTCAGACTGCTCTCCCAGGGCTTGGCATAGGATGGAGGACTTGGGGATTTCCCTTCCATTTCCTCCCACCTCCTTCTCTTCCTTGTCTCACATCAGCAAGGGATGAAACTCATGTCACCACTAGATCTTGTCCCCTGGGGAGTGATGCCAAGGTTGGTGATTGGGAATTAGGGTCCCCTACTGCCTGCCCCCTGTCCCTGTAGCAGGTGATCCATGGGAGAGGTTCACCCTTGGGGAGCTTGTATAGGTTCTCTCTGCTTTTCACCCCCCATACCTCCACATCAACCTCCCTGAGAAACTCTTTGCTTTCATGTTTTCTTTTAGCCCATGCATGTTATGTGTGGGCTAAAGTGTTGCTTTTGCCTGTTTTTGTTTTGTTCTGTTTTCCGGTACGCGGGCCTCTCACTGCTGTGGCCCCTCCAGTTGCGGAGCACAGGCTCCGGACACGCAGGCTCAGCGGCCATGGCTCATGGGCCCAGCCACTCCACAACATGTGGGATCTTCCCGGACCAGGGCACGAACCCGTGTCCCCTGCATCGGCAGGTGGACTCTCAACCGCTGCGCCACCAGGGAAGCCCTTGCCTGGTTTTTAAAGTACCATATCTCCTCAGCTCCAGAGGGGCTGGGAGGTCAATCCTCTTAGCATAAAAATAATGGGAGCTGTCAATTTCCCATTATAAGGATGTCTTAAATGGTCTCCTTACCTTCTGGCTTTCCTTACTTAGTCTTGGGATCTTGATTACTTCACTTAAAATGGAGATGATAATACTTATTTCCATAGGGCCATCTGAGGATCAAAGGAAGGCTTTCTAAAATGTTAAATCTATTCAAATGTTAGATATTTTTGTGACAGTGTGTGTTCTCTCTTGCCTTAGTCTGGAAGCTCAGGGAAGACAGGAAACATCTCCATCTTTTCACTGCTGCATACCCAGTGCCTGTGCAAAGTGCCAGGCACCTAGAAGGTGCTCCGTTAATGTTTTCTAAACAAATGACGGACTGCAGATCTTCAGAGGTTAATCTTTTCTGCCTCATACCTATTCTCGTTACTTTATAAAAAATATTAGAAATTGTAGCTGCTGGCATCTTCATTCCAGTCCCCTGAGTCCGCTACTCTCCGTCCGCATCCTAGGTTCTGGGGTAGAGTTCATGAGTAGTTCAGCAGTTCAGAGGATAACTTGGACCAGCCAGCACTGCACCATAGGACTTGCAAGAGGCAAATACAGTGAGACTGGACCACCGCAGGCTGAATCAACACAGGTGAAACAGCTGTGCTGCCTTCAGGGCTAGAGGGTTTTTGTCTAACTTCAGGGAAGGGGTAAGAGGTCATTCCAAAACAGCGCAGTGGTCTAAAAATGGCATTTTTTCTACAGAGACATGCATGACATGCGTGACAGGCCAAGGATGGCTGGACATAGATAGCTGAAGCTTTCTACACACAACCTCAGACGATTCAACTGCAGTTGGCCCCATCTTACAACCAGGAGCTGTATACATCTACCCTATTACCTTATTTAGTTCATGAAACCAGGACATGTATTTCTGTTTAAAAGGCCAGAATAGACCTGACTTTCTTTAGGGGTTTAGCCGAGTTGGTTGATTAAATGATTAAATGCAGGAGATCTCCTGCCCCCTTTCCCTGCATCATCTTTCCTCTCTAGTCCTTGATACTCCCTGACATTCCACCCATTTTCCTTATTTATCTTGGTTATTACATGTTTCCACTCCCACCCCCAGATTTGTAAGCTTCATGAGAGCAGATATGACTTTATTTTTTATTTTTGTTTTTCCTCTGCGCTATGCCTGGCATGTATTAAGTATGTACTAACCATTATTTATTTACTTAGTTGAACTACTAATTTCCTGTGTAAGTGGTGCTTATTCCTTTATGTAAAACAAAACCAAACAAATACAAGTAAGTGCATCTTTTTGTGTGCTAGAAATGCCTTAGAATATATTAGCCAGTCCCCTAAGTTCCTAAACAGAGCTTAAATAATAATAGATCAGATTTTCAGTACTTATTTCTCTTAGTAATGAGTGATTTATTGAATTTACTCATTTGATCCTTGTAATGAGCTCTTTCTGTAGATGAAGGAAATGAAGCACAGAGAGGGTGTGTGATTTGCCCAAGGTCACACAGTGATTAAGTTATAGATTCAGCATTTCAACTCTGCTATCTGGTCTCAGAACCCAAGGGCTTAAGCGTTACACTATACTGTTTCTGAACATGAGTTAGCTTGTTTGCAAAGAGTCAGTGTCTCCCCTATTAAGGCCAAATCTTCTATAACAGTGACTCCCTACCCCTGAGATGGGAATGCTTCTCTTTCATTGTTAATTGTTACTAGGTGATATTGTCAAGACTTTCCTGAGAAGTCCTCCTGCCATGATGCTTCTGGTCTGCTATATTCAAGAGGAAACCAGATCTTGAAGACCTTGTTTCATGCTCCAAGAGGATTAATCTACTAAATCCTACTAGCAAGTTTCTGGAGAACTCTACAAATTGTAGAAAAATCAATACCTTCTGAAGTGCAGCCTCTCTCCAGACTGAAGCTGTTGAGAAGATGTTCTCCACAGCCTCCGAGGACAGAGGTGTCCTGATGTCAGGAGGTAAGTGACCATACCAAGCGCTGACGCCTGTGTTGCTCATGGCCCTTTATCTGTGATTGTGTTAATGTGTACTTGGTTAACGTTAATTGTGTGTGCTAATCACCATCGCTCTTCTATTTTCATTGTATTCTAAAAGGGAAGTGGTAGGCAAAAGAAAATCGGGGTGGTACTTGAGTCTTAGTCATAAGGCACAAGGCCCTCCCCTTCCCCTTGTGAACCAGAAGAGAATTCTCATATTGGAGACAAGTCAGGTCCTAAGAATTCTATGAGTTGTTCTGTACTAAAGCAATAATATAAACATTGAAGCACTCACTGCAGTTTGACAAGAATTAAAGGTAATAACGTGCACGGGTTTTATGACAGCCTGAAAGCTTTTGCTCTTGCATCTTAGTCTGTGGTGGGAGTGGCCGAAGCCTACTATCTATACAGATTATGCAAATATTTATAAAGCAGCTCACTGCCTTGACCTCACGAAGCCCATTCTCCAGCCAACAAGTAAAGCACCAACTACATAAAATCTAGGTTAAACAGATAAACTCATTCCTTTCCTGAATAGTTTGTTTTTCTCTTAAGAAACAAATAGTGACAAGTATGGGAAGAAATTCAGTGATCATCATTATTTTCATCCGTCAGAATCACAGATCCATCTTATAGGTAACATCTTAACACTTATGTCACATTGGATATAGTACTAAGTACTTTATTGGATTAACTCATTTAATCCTCAAAACATGAATGCAAAGCACAGGAGTAAAGAATGTGGAAAGCCTTTAAGACAAACTTCTTCCGCACTCCATAATGGAGAAGCCAGCCTTGGGGAAACCTGTAAATATTCCTTCTGACTAAGAATTTTACTCCTGGTTTCCACTTGCAAACCTCTTGTTCATCAAATACTGCTTCCTCCACCGAAGTAGTTCTCATTTCTCCTGAAATATGATTTTTCCCCCCTCGTTTATATCCCAAAGCCACCTGGCTGTACTATTCTCTGCGTTGATCCTATTCTACCAGGCACCATGGTTTTCTGAGGCTGTGTGATGTTCTTTGAGCAAGGGGTTTGGAGTCAGAAGACATCGGTTTGACTTCTCCCAGACTCACTGGGTAAGTGGTACTAGTAGCGGTGCTATCTTCCTCAGTGACCTTGTGACACCTAATCAGAAAACATGCAGCTAGTACTTTGTTACTGGAAACATGGTTTACAAAGTTTGTTACCTTGGTGTGTAAACACATTGAAACGAATTGTGGGCTGAGATGATCTTAGTGAGCTTCATGACTTTTGAACTGTGCCTGGGAATTAGCAGTCTTACCGGATGGGTATCGAAGGAATATTTTTAGGAGACAACTAAATGTCTTCTTAGTAGCCAAATAGCTCTAAAACATCTCAAGAGCATCTTCCCCCAGACTCAGAAGTAGGCTAGTTGGTGCTGGGTTCCTTGAGGTTAATGAGGTACCAGTCGTCTTTTTGATGGCTGAGAGGAGATAAGACTGATGGAGGTGATTTTGTCAGTAAAGGGGAAACTACTTTTTTTTTTTTTTTTTTTAAACTACCTTAATGTGACAAAATCCTTGACCATGCGGTCAGAAGGCTCAAAGTGAGAGATGCAAGTGGTATGCTCTCTATGGGGCGGAATGACAACCCTTGGCCATGTTCGGTTACCAAATGCAGACATGCTTGGTTGTTCTGCATCTCTGGAAGGAAAGCTGCATTTGCAAGGTGACAGAATCATTTCCATGGCAACAGACTGTCTGGTGTCAGAACAGAAATGAAAGCTTCAGATGCCAGCTCTGTATTGACGTGATGCCTATCATGCCGCTTCTTACAAGGCTAAGAGGGCTTGATCTCTCAGCAGACAGCAATGCCAATGTAGAATTCGTGCCATTTCTATCAGTATTTTCACATCTCAAGGTTGAGTGTTCTATTTTTGTCTTGTAAAGTCTCTGGTTGTCTGAATGGAGCTGTCAGGGTCCTTGTAAAAACAGATCATGCTGGACCTTCGGGGGTGACACAAAGGATGATAAGGAGACAGCTAGGGCTTGGGTCCTGGCTTTCTAGGGAATGCGGCATTGTCACCTACCTGTCACCTTGCTGCAGGATGAGGGGAATGAGGAAGTGCAGCCAGAAGACCTGGGATGGACCCTTGACTCCAGGAGGCTGGCCAGGCAAGGTGGGCCTGAGCAGAGGGGCTGGGCTGCCCTGCTTGAGTCCTCCGCTCTCTGCTGCTATAATCGTCTTCCTGCATTTGCTAACCCCTGCTCTCACCCTTGGGTCCTAACCTTTGATGCTTCCCCAGACCTTCTCACCATGATCCGGGCACCCGAGACCTCAAACGAAAGACTTTGCTCTTGACTCCTTTCCCGACCTCAGGCCTCTCCACAGACCGCAAAGCCCTATCATGTTACTCCTTAGGACTTAGCCCTTTCTGACTCATCCCTGTCTGCCCAAACCATAGGCCAAGTGCATTGGGAGATGCCTGACCACACCTGGCTTGTGCTACACCTCAGAGACTGGGTGTCAAACAGTGTCTCCAAAAGGGCAGGACTTTCTTTTTTTTTTGTTTTATGTGGGGTGTTTTTAATGTGTTGATTTCTTTTAAAAAATTGTTTATTTGTTTTTATTTTTGGCTGTGTTGGGTCTTTGTTGCTGTGCACAGGCTTTCTCTAGTTAAAGTGAAGGTGGGCTACTCTTCCTTGCGGTGAGTGGGCTTCTCATTGCGGTGGCTTCTGGTTGCGGAGCACGGGCTGTAGGCGCACGGGCTTCAGTAGCTGTGGCTCGCGGGCTCTAGAGCACAGGCTCAGAGTTGTGGCGCACGGGCTTAGTTGCTTTGTGGCATGTGAGATCTTCCCGAACCAGGGCTCGAACCCGTGTCCCCTGCATTGGTAGGTGGATTCTTAACCACTGTGCCACCAGGGAAGCCCAGGGCAGGACTTTCCAGCGCTGTTAGTTAGCAAGATGCCCACAGGAAACATCTGGATGAGCATTTTAAAAAGGGAGTTAATCGTGATTAAAGTGTCCTCAGTTTGCCTGTGGTCATGGTTGCCCGTATATGTGAATACACTGAAAAATGTTTTGGTTTCCTTTTTTTTTTTTTTTCCTCATGGGAGTGAGCAGTGTTTTTTTAATTGAATGAAAACCTCTTTAAATTTTACTGTGCTTTACAATATTCAAAAGTTTCACACAAGATTTCGTATAATCCCATAATAACCCCTTGTATCCACACCCCTATATCGCCCCTCCCCCCTCCCTCTCCCCACTGGTAACCACTAGTTTGTTGTCTATATCCGTGAGTCTACTTCTTTTTGGAAAAAATGTTTATATGGACACTTTACGTGGGCGAATTGTATGGCATGTAAATTACATCTCAATGAAGCTCTTTAAAAACTGATTTAATAGAAAATGACAATTACATAAAACTAGCGGGATCAACATCTTAAATGTATTTAGTTCAAAACTGAGTGGATTTAGAGAAAAATATTGTATACATCATAGAACAGGTGGTATGTGGACGTGGTCATGGAAGTTTGGCTGTCCCCTGCCCCCCTTCCCCTTCTGTAAACAATTTCTGAGTTCTTTCTGGCTGGTTTATGTGCCAGTTATTAGCTTCCATATACTGTGGACCTACCCGTAATTAGTCAGTTATCACACACTGTGGTTACTGTTTTCTCCCTCCTAAAAGCTTTTGTGTCAAGCACTGATTGTCGGCACTTTGTACCACGTCTGGTAGACAACTTGTGGACTAAAAGTCAGGATTTCTCAACCTCGACACTGTTGGCCCTTCAGATTGGACAGTTCCTCATTGTGGGAACCATCCTGTTCATCAACCATCAACAGCATCCCTGGTCTCTACTCACTAACTAGATGCCAGCAGTACCCACCTCAGATGTGACAGCATGAACAGTCTCAAGGTGCTGACAAATATCCCCTGAGGGGCAAAATCCTTTAGTACTGTTCTGAGTCAGTACTTGTTGAACATTCAGTAGGTATTTGTGGTCACCTTCAATGAGCCAGGTACCATTCTAGGCGGTGGGGACACAGCAGTAAATGAGGTGGACAAAGTTCTTGCTCTTAAGAAGTTTATATTGTATAGGGAGAGACAGGCAGAAACCAAGTGTCAAATTAACAAACACACTGATTCAGATGGTGGTAAACACTAAGGAGAAAATTAAACAGGGTGATGGGATTGAAAGTGGTAGATGGTCAAAGATAGCTTTTCTGAGGAGGTGGTATGGGCGTGAGACCTGAGCATCTAGAGGGGCCAGCCATAGGGAAGGGAGGGATTGGCTCAGAGACCATCGGAAGGAGGGACGACTTGAAGGGAAGTCTCAAAGGAAGGAATGAGCTCAGAGTGTTTGGGGAGCAAGGAGGAGGCTGGAGTGAGACAGAGGCTAAAAGGAGAGGTGGTGAGTGGACCTGGGGGATGTCAGGCTTGCAGAGTTCAGGGCAAGACGCTTGGATTTTGTTCCAAGTGAGATGAGAAGCCATTGCTGTGAGTCTGCAGGGAGTAATTTGTGTTTTTAAAGGTTTACTCAATTGGCTGCTGCATGAAAGTGGTCTACAGAGGTGCCCAGGTTGGAAGAATAAGGTCAGTGAGGAGAGAGCAGCTGTCATCCAGGGAAGCATTTTTGAAGCCTGGACCAGCCTAGTGGTGGTGGAAATGAGGGAAATGAGGATGGAGGATCATAATTGAGGGAGGGTAACAACAGGACACAAGAGCAAGACAAAGAGAGAGATGGGATTTCTCTCTGAAATGGGGAGTCCATAGAGTTTACGGAGAGGAGAGACATGACTGGCTAATCAAATTAGACTCTGTGCTCACAAGATTTTCCAGCCTGTGGTTCAAGCTGGGTTTCAATTATGGAAAGACCATTGTTTTCTTCCTATAAAGGGGGTTAATAGACTGTAACACCAGCTTAATTATACCTGTTTCCTAGACCACTTCTTTAGTTTAATATTTACTCAGCTTAGCATTTATCATTATCTCAGTATAGGGTGAGGCCATTGAAAAGAAATCCCTGAATGTAAACTTTCAATAGTTTAAACCTTCCATTAAAAACAGGCCAGTCTTTCATCACTTATCTTGGGGAAAGGAAATAAAAAGGCTGCAAGCCTTCCAAGGTCTCTGATTATTGCTTCCCTTCAATTTTTGTGAAATTCATAGTATTAGTAACAACAATGTGATAATTACAACCACTTTTTGTTTTTGAGCACCCACTAAGTACCAGGTTTTTTATGTTATTTTAGTTTTAATCCCAATTAAAATCCTATAGCTAGGTGTACCTGTCCTTATCTAGCAGATGAGGGGAAAAGTGGCCCAGGCTGGTTAAGTAACACATCCAAGATAATGCAGATGGTGTGTTAGTTTCCTAAGGTGGCTATGATCAATTACCACAAACTGGATGACTTAAAACAATACATATTTATTCTCTCACAGTTCTGGAGGCCAGAAGTCCAAAATCAAGGTGTCAGGGGGCCACGAGACTCTGAATGCGCTAGGGGAGAATCTGTCCTTGGCAGCTGTTCCAGCTTCTGGAGGCTTTAGGTGTCCTTGGCTTGTGGCTGCAAAACTCCAGTCTCTGCCTTTTCTCCTTTTTCTCCCTGTGTCTTCTCTGTGTGTCTCTTACAAGGACTCTTGTCATGGGATAGAAGGCCCATCCATATAGCCCATGATGATCTCATCTTGATATTCTTGACATAATTACATCTGCAAAGACCCCTTTTCCAGATAAGGTAATATTCATAGATCCCAGAGCTTAGAACAGGGACATTTCATTTTGGGGGGAGGGGGGCACCATTTAACCCATTACTGGTTACTTGTACTTGTACAAGTAACTTGTAACAAGCTGGTTACTCGTAAGGGTCAGGGCCTTCCCCCTGTAGTACAGAGCCTCGTTCACACTAAGTTTGCATCATAAAAGTAGATGTGCCAGGGGCTTCCCTGGTGGCGCAGTGGTTGAGAGTCCGCCTGCTGAGGCAGGGGACACGGGTTCCTGCCCCGGTCCGCAAAGATCCCACATGCCCCGGAGCGGCTGGGCCCATGAGCCATGGCCGCTGAGCCTGCGCCTCCGGAGCCTGTGCTCCGCAACGGGAGAGGCCACAGCGGTGAGAGGCCCGCGTACCACAAAAAAAAAGTAGATGTGCCTTTATAGCCTCAGTCATTCTTACAGCCTGTTTTCAGTGACTCTGGACGAAGAGTCAAAGGATTTTTTCCATCTTAGCAGCATAATACCGTGAAAGTTATAATTATAGGTTTCACAAAGGGAGAAGCCTTCAAAATGATGTCAGGTATTTTAAGAACATTCTCTTGTTAAAAGATGCTGGTCTTGCTACCTCTAATTATAAAGGAGGGCAAATAATGTCAAAATATATCTTGGGAGTTTTCGGTGCAACAAAAAAATAAGCGTTAACAACTAAATGGCAACTAACATCTGGACGGATTGATGGTACAGCCTTTTCCTTTCCTTTTTTTTTTTTTTTTTTCTGGTGTTAATTAAAAGTTAGTTGAACCATTAGGAAGTTAGGCCAAATTTTTAATCCTTAACAACTTCCCAACCTTTCCCCTCCATCATGTTTAATCTTAAGTCTAAAGAAAACCCACAACAACTGGGTTCTGTGCATCACAGAGTGAGGCAGAGAGCAAATGAGTCTCTTTCTAACGTGACAGGGCATCCGAGCAAACCAAACGCTCTTGGTTGAGGGGAATTTCAGGCAGTCGACTGCACAAAGCTGGCTGGATCAATTTGTCTGTAGTGTGACTGGTAATCTTTAAGACAGTTGATTAGTTGGCCATTAGTTGCTTGCTCTGCAATGCTCCTCTCTCTCTCTCTCTCAGGAATGTGAATGGATCTGTCTTGGACGATGGATGGGGCTGGAATCCCCAGGCAATGAAGAACCATCCTCCTCCCGTCCATGGCAAGAATGTTGGCATCCCCAGCTCTCAGCTCATGTTTAAATGAGAAATGAAGAAAAGGCACTGAGCACAGCTGAGGGGAACCTGAACTCTTGACTTGAGCGACCTCCAAACTCAATGGTCTAAATTGGATCCTGATGGGAAAAAATACATACACACACACATCAGTATGTATGTATATTGTTATAAAATATGTTAGAGGGTAAGAGGATATTTGGACAATGAAAAAATTAGGAAGAAGTATGGTTCCTTGACCATACTATTTGCTCAGTTTTATAGCCTGTTTTTAAAAATGTAACATTATAAGCATCTTTTAAAAAAAGTTGCTGGATAATCCTGAGACATTATTTAATTCTGCAGAGAAGTTATGCTATAATTTAACCTACCTCAGCATAATATGTTGGTTATGTGGATTGTTTGCTCTTCTTTGCTCTTTAAGTAATGCTGGCAAGAACATCTTTGTGCCTGAAGACTTAAAAAAAATCTATCTATCTATCTTTCTATTATCTATCTATCTATCTATTATAGATGAAGAATGTCGCCTGCCATGTCAGTAAACAAAGGATGTTGCAGCCATCAAGCCATCAACCACTGCAGCTGCCCCCAACTGTGCACACTGAGGGGATTCGGGATGGAGAAAGACAGGATACTGGCCCTAGATAGTAAAGGTACATATCAAAGGAATGATTTAAACAAGCCCAGACTCTTGCATCTTTCCAGAGATAAGCACTAAATTCATTAACTAGAGATATCTGGTTTTCTTTAATTAACAGTAATCTTTTGATGTTCTGACTACTTCTTTGTTTTTGTTTTTTTGCAAAAACTCCTATATATCCTGTCTCCCCTCTTACCTCTTTGGAGCAGTCCCTCAGAGCTACCTGAGAGGCTGCCTCCTGGGCTTAAGTCCTCAGCAAGTCCACTGAATAAAACATAATTCTCATCTTTCAGGTTGTGCATTTTTTTTCAGTCAACACTCTTATCTATCCATCCATCTATCCATTATCTATCCATCCACTTATCCTTTATCAATCTATCCATCCATCCACCCATCTATTCATCTCCTATCTATCTATCCATACATTCAATCATCTATCCATTATCTACCCATCAATTTATCTGTTGCCTGTCTATGTCTATCTATCTATCTATCTATCTATCTATCTATCTATCTATCTATCATCTATCTATCATGTATCTATCTATTTTTCTAGAGCAGATTCCCAGGTCAAAGTGGGGGGCAAATCAACCTTTTAGGGCCAATTAAATAGAGCTGGATCTCCATCCCTCTCTCTTTCTCCCTTCTTCTCTTCCTTTTTTTCTTCCTTCTCTCCCTGTTTCCCTTCTTCCTTCCTTTATTCCCCACTTTACAAATTACTGAGACAATAATCTCTCCCCAGTAATCCTGGAGCATTGGCTGTTAGGAACTTCTAAGGGATGAGTATAAAAATCATGAGAAGGATGTATTTTTCTGCATCAACACCCACAGACTTATGCATACAATTGATACAAAGAGCCTTAGAGCTGGAACTAGCTCTGTGCTATTTTTTCCTTTTTCAGATGTGGAAAGTGAAGACAGAGGGGTAAAGAAATGTTTCTTAGGGCACCCTGGACCTGGACTCACAACCCCAGCCCAGTATCCTCCTTTCTTGAGGGCTGCCTCTAACCCAGGCAGTTACTCTGCTTTGTGCTTTAGGTGCACCAACATATTTATTCTTCCTAAAGACTCTATGATAGAGATTCTGTTATACCCACTTTACAGTGAGGAAACTGAGCAACATGGAGGTTAAGTCAAATCACTTGCCTTCATCCCTCTCGGGTGTCTCTGGACTCCTGTGACTGACAGATGGAGCTGTCTGCACTGAGCTCGTGGGGAATCCTCTCTCATCCCAGCTGTGCTTGTTGCAGCAGCAGGATGTAGGAGGGGGAGAGGATGTGTTCCCTGCCTTACACGGGGTAGCATCTTATTTTGCAGGAATAGGACATCAAACTTGGAAAATAGCTTTGATACAATACTAAAGTCAAGCCAGGACCAAATACACTAGCAATGGAGGGGAGGCTATTATTTACAGAAGCTTTCCTTTTTTTTTCCTCACTTAATCCTCACAATAACTTTTATGGCCATTCTGCAGACGAGAAAACTGAGGCTCTGAGGACTGTGGCAGAACTGGTACTCATTCATGTGAGATCTATCTGGCTCTAAAGTCCAGGGTCCTTCAGTTACAGAATTCTTCATTCACCCATTCATTTATTCTAAAGTTTTATTTATTTATGTATTTAATTATTTATCTATTTGGAATGAACACACTAACATGGATCAGGAGCTACACTAAGAGCTGAGGATACAGAGATAAATTTTTTAAAAAAGTTCCTGACATCATGAAACTCACATTCTAAAGGGGAAGACAGACAATAAACAGAGAGATGAATACATATTTAATTTCACAGAGTGGCGATGCTTCAGAGGAAAATAAAGCAAGGAGGCTCCAGAGCAAGGAGGCAGAGAATGAGGACTCTTCTGATACAAGGACACCATGGGGAAACATCTAGAAACACTGCTGATGAAGTGGTGTGTGCAAGGTATTCTCACATCTTGAGTTTCATGGCTCAGTATAACTATGGAAAAATTCATGGGCAGACATAGAAGCTGACATTTTGATTTGTAAACATTTTCATAAAAATACATAAATACATTAAATCACCCAAACAACTTCCATATTCTATGACCAAGAATTCGTAAAGGACACTTTAACACCCCACCTCAAGTGTCAATATATTTAACTTCATGAAAAATTAACTTCACTGAGCTTATTTTTCTCATTTTGTTGCAGATGGGGGAATACTCGACCATGAACTCCTGTTTAAAAACCACTAATTCTGCCCATAGGTGTCTGAGCTCAGAAGAGAGTCTGAAATTGCTTTCTAGTAGTTTAGTGATAGTGGTAGTATTAGCTAATATTTATGGAATTCTTTTAATGTTCTAAGTGATGTGCCAAAAGCTCTTCATTCACAATTGAGTTGAATTCTCGCAGCAACCCCGTAAGCTGGGCACACGGGCTAAGTACTACATCTTTTTTTCTGGTGGAGAAGCTGAGACTTTAACAGGTGTGGTAGATTCCCAAAGACATAGCTGATAAGTTGGAGAACAAGACTCAAGCCCAAGTTCAAGCGAGAGACAATCCTATTGAACAAAGGAGGGATTTAAACTTGGGCTCTGTTGAGTGCAGTGAGAGGATAGAAGTACATGTTTGGTATTGTGTTGCTGCTATTGCTTTTGGTAGATTGAGGATAGGCCATACATTTCTTTTGCATTCTGCCATAGGGGACAACTCTTGTTTAGCCTTTCCAGTGCCCATTCCCCCTATTTCTAGGAATAGCATCGCTATTTCACTTTGGGGGCTACCTCATCCTGATGACTATACTTTTGGTGAGACTATCACTCATGATGCCCATTCTCCCCTGGCCAAGGAGTGGGCAGGCGACATGAGTGAGACCATTCAGAGTCTTGCCGTGGAGGTTGACGGTTGAGCAGAGGAACACAATTGCTGAAAACAGATGTTGAAGCATCCCAAACCAGAGCCCTCTCTGGAGAAGAGACTGTTCCTTAGTCCTTACTGCCTGAATTCAAGGAACTGCTTTGATCCATGTCTGCTTCTTTTTAGTTCTTTTTTTTCTTACACTCATCTTTTTTTTCTTTTTTAACATCTTTACTGGAGTATAATTGATTTACAATGGTGTGAGTTTCTACTTTATAACAAAGTGAATCAGCTATACATATACATATATCCCCATATCCCCTCCCTCTTGCGTCTCCCTCCCACCCTCCCTATCGCACCCCTCTAGGTGGTCACAAAGCACTGGGCTGATCTCCTTGTGCTATGTGGCTGCTTCTGACTAGCTATCTGTTTTACATTTGGTAGTGTCTATACGTCCATGCCACTCTCTCACTTCACCCCAACTTCCCCTTCCCCTTCCCCTTCCTGTGTCATCAAGTCCATTCTCTATGTCTGCGTCTTTATTCCTGTCTTGCCCCTAGGTTCTTCAGGACAATTTTTTTTTTTTTAGATTCCATATATATGTGTTAGCATACAGTATTTGTTTTTCTCTTTCTGACTTACTTCACTCTATATGACAGACTGTAGGTCCATCCACCTCACTACAAATAACTCAATTTCATTTCTTTTCATGGCTGAGTAATATTCCATTGTATACATGTGCCACATCTTCTTTATCCATTCATCTGTTGATGGACACTTAGGTGGCTTCTGTGACCTGGCTATTATAAATTGTGCTACAATGAACATTGTGGTACATGACTCTTTTTGAATTATGGTTTTCTCAGGGTATATGCCCAATAGTGGGTTTGCTGTGTCGTATAGTACTTCTATTTTTAGTTTTTTAGGGAACCGTCATACTGTTCTCCATAGTGGCTGTATCAATTTACATTCCCACCAACAGTGCAAGAGGGTTCCCTATTCTTCACACCCTCGTCAGCATATATTGTTTGTAGATTGTTTGATGATAGCCATTCTGACTGGTTTGAGGTGATACCTTACTGTAGTTTTGATTTGCATTTCTCTAATGATTAGTGATGTTGAGCATCCTTTCATGTGTGTGTTGGCAATCTGTATATCTTCTTTGGAGAAATGTCTATTTAGGTCCTCTGCCCATATTTGGATTGGATTGTTTGGTTTTTTGATATTGAGCTGCATGAACTGCTTGCATAATTTGGAGATTAATCCTTTGTCAGTTGCTTCGTTTGCAAACATTTTCTCCCATTCTGAGGGTTGTCTTTTCGTCTTGTTTATGGTTTCCTTGGCTGTGCAAAAGCTTTTAAGTTTCATTAGGTCCCGTTTTGTTTATTTTTGTTTTTCTTTCCATTACTCTAGGATGTGGGTCAAATAGGATCTTGCTGTGTTTTATGTCATAGAGTGTTCTGCCTATGTTTTCCTCTAAGAGTTTTATAGTGTCTGGCCTTACATTTAGGTCTTTAATCCATTTTGAGTTTATTTTTGTGTATGGTGTTAGGGAGTGTTCTAATTTCATTCTTTTACATGTAGCTGTCCAGTTTTCCCAGCACCACTTATTGAAGAGGCTGTCTTTTCTCCATTGTATGTTCTTGCCTCCTTTATCAAAGATAAGGTGACCATATGTGTGTGAGTTTATCTCTGCACTTTCTATCCTGTTCCATTGATCTATATTTCTGTATTTGTGCCAGTACCATACTGTCTTGATTACTGTTGCTTTGTAGTATAGTCTGAAGTCAGGGAGACTGATTCCTCCAGCTCCATTTTTCTTTCTCAAGATTGCTTTGGCTATTTGGGGTCTTTTGTGTTTCCATACAAATTGCGACATTTTTTGTTCTAGTTCTGTGAAAAATGCCATTGGTAGTTTCATGGGGATTGCACTGAATCTTTAGATTGCTTTGGGTAGTATAGTCATTTTCACAATGTTATTCTTCCAATCCAATAACATGGTATATCTCTTCATATGTTTGTATCACCTTTAATTTCTTTCATCAGTGTCTTATAGTTTTCTGCATACAGGTCTTTTATTTTCTTAGGTAAGTTTATTCCTAGGTATTTTATTCTTTTTGTTGCAGTGGTAAATGGGAGTGTTTCCTTAATTTCTCTTTCAGATTTTCATCATTAGTGTATAGGAATGCAAGAGATTTCTGTGCATTAATTTTGTATGCTGCTACTTTACCAGATTCATTGATTAGCTCTAGTAGTTTTCTGGTAGCATCTTTAGGATTCTCTATGTATAGTATCATGTCATCTGCAAACAGCGACAGTTTTACTTCTTCTTTTCTAATTTGTATTCCTTTTATCTCTTTTTCTTCTCTGATTGCTTTGGCTAAAAGTTCCAAAACTATGTTGAATAATGGTGGTGAGAGTAGGCAACCTTGTCTTGTTCCTGATCTTAGTAGAAATAGTTTCAGTTTTTCACCATTGAGAATGATGTTGGCTGTGGATTTGTCATATATGGTCTTATTATGTTGAGGTAAGTTCCCTCTATGCCTACTGTCTGGAGGGTTTTTATCATAAATGGGTGTTGAATTTTGTCAAAAGGTTTTTCTGCATCTATTGAGATCATCATATGGTTTTACTCCTTCAAGTTGTTAATATGGTGTATCACATTGATTGGTTTATATTGAAGAATCCTTGCATTCCTGGGATAAACCCCACTTAATGATGGTGTATGATCCTTTTAGTGTGCTGTTGGATTCTGTTTCCTAGCATTTTGTTGAGGATTTTTGCATCTATGTTCATCAGTGATATTGGCCTGTAGTTTTCTTTCTTTGTGACATCTTTGTCTGGTTTTGGTGTCAGGGTGATGGTGGCCTCATAGAATGAGTTTTGGGAGTGTTCCTCCCTCTGCTACATTTTGGAAGAGTTTGAGAAGGATAGCTGTTAGCTCATCTCTAAATGTTTGGTAGAATTCGCCTGTGAAGCCATCTGGTCCTGGGCTTCTGTTTGTTGGAAGATTTTTAATCACAGTTTCAATTTCAGTGCTTGTGTTTGGTCTGTTTATATTTTCTATTTTTTCCTGGTTCAGTCTCAGAAGGTTGTGTTTTTCTAAGAATTTGTCTATTTCTTCCAGGTGTCCATTTTATTGGCATATAGTTGTTTGTAATAATCTCTCATGATCCTTTGTATTTCTGCAGTGTCAGTTGTTACTTCTCCTTTTTCATTTCTAATTCTGTCGATTTGAGTCTTCTCCCTTTTTTCTTGTTGAGTCTAGCTAATGGTTTATCAATTTTGTTTATCTTCTCAAAGAATCAGCTTTTAGTTTTATTGATCTTTGTTATCATTTCCTTCATTTCTTTTCATTTATTTCTGATCTGATCGTTATGATTTCTTTCCTTCTGCTAACTTTGGGGGGTTTTTTGTTCTTCTTTCTCTAATTGCTTTAGGTGTAAGGTTAGGTTGTTTATTTGAGATTTTTCTTGTTTCTTGAGGAAGGATTGTATTGCTATAAATATCCCTCTTAGAACTGCTTTTGCTGCATCCCATAGGTTTTGGGTCATCGTGTTTTCATTGTCATTTGTTTCTACGTATGTTTTGATTTCCTCTTTGATTTCTTCAGTGATCTCTTGCTTATTTAGTAGCATACTGTTTAGCCTCCATGAGTTTATATTTTTTATAGTTTTTTTTCCTGTAATTGATATCTAGTCAATAGCATTGTGGTCGGAAAAGATACTTGATACGATTTCAGTTTTCTTCTTTTTTTGCGGTACGCAAGCCTCTCACTGTTGTGGCTTCTCTCATTGCGGAGCACAGGCTCCAGACGCGCAGGCTCAGCGGCCATGGCCCATGGGCCCAGCCACTCCGCGGCATGTAGGATCTGCCTGGACCGGGGCATGAACCCATGTCCCCTGCATTGGCAGGCAGACTCTCTACCACTGTGCCACCAGGGAAGCCCGATTTCATTTTTCCTAAATTTACCAGGGCTTGATTTGTGACCCAAAATATGATCTATCCTGGAGAATGTTCCATGAACACTTGAGAAGAAACTGTATTCTATTGTTTTTTGATGGAATGTCCTATAAATATCAATTATGTCCATCTTGTTTAATG